TAGTAGTAGTAGTAGTAGTACTTAGATTATGACCTGGAAGCTTGGGGCCAAAGGGCAAGCCTTGTCGACGGGTGTGTACCTGACCCCCGAAACATAGGGCGCATTAACTCAAAAACAAGCATCCTCTCTTATGGACCCGTGTTCCCATGTTAACAGGCCCCGCAAATGGCACGGAAACCTCATTCAAGATTTCACAACCAGCTGTCATGCCCCGCAGCACGGTCCATGGACGCTTCTCACTTTCGAATTCCCCATTATTGTCCCTCCTAAAAGAACACAACCATACTATAATGTACGATAACACCAAAAACCTGCTCACCAAAACATGGAGTAAACCCCAGAGAGTTGGAAACTAGATTGAGGGACAACTAGTGCTGGGATTCCCTACACATTAATTACCTTTGAGGAGGCGATATGGGATTTCGAATTCTTGGGCTTCTACTGCACTAAAGCCCTTCTTACATTTTTGTCAACTCGACGCCCCCGCCCCCCCCCCAGCCTTCGACTCCTCGTCCCTGCCCTGGGCGACTGCGCAGCTCCGCCAGGGCGCGTTCGAGCGGCGTTCGGCCTGCGCAGGGCTTCCCATAGACTCCGATATTCCTTATTCGCGATTCCTCCTTGGGGGTTTATGTTCAGATACTGCCCCCACTCATTATCGCAGTTGAATAGTATATTCTTAATATCGCTAAAAAAGGCCCTTAATAGCAGCCCTATTATAAACTGTTACTGTATGACCTCTTCCATAGACTCCGGTATATCCTTCCAGGTAAAGGCTCCCGGAGAGTACAGGTTCTTATATTGGGTTTTCTGGGTTCTAAATGTTACAACTTTTTCTGGGTTCTAGATGTCGTAACTTTTTCTCAATCTGCACGTGAAGGGATGTGAAGAGTCCAAGCTGCATGTAGGTTCAAACTACAGTGGGTGGGTTTGGGCAGTCCGGTTTCGATACAAGACTTACTACGGTTCACATCCTAGACAGGTGAACAAGCTGGCTCAAGCATTCCTGGGAATTTAGGATTCGTGGGACTAGGTCAAGCATTTTAGGCTTTCAGGTTCGACTTTGGAAGGCCTCCAAACATGTTCAGGGATCTATTAGGACCAGGTGCAGTGTCGTCGTCGTGGTTGTTTGGGTAACTAGGAAAAGGGCTTCGAAGGCTTCGGAGTGCAGGGCATTGCGATCGTCTGGACTTCGATTTCACTGCGCATGGACATGTAGCTCACGATCATGACGGGTGGTCCGGCCGTTTGTTTTTAGCTCATTCAGGCAGGGGCGCCTTGGACATCTTTGCTGCTGAGCTTGCCGAAGCGCGGATGGGCTAGAAGGGCTGCGCACCTGGATGAGTGAGATCCGCCACCGAGAACAGAAATCCATTCTCGGCTGGAGGGTGGGAGCTTGACCTCGTGCCCTCTCTTCCCGTACTTTTGAGCCATGCAAGAGAAGCTCAAGTCCTGGATAAGTGGGGACGTTCAAAAGTCGCCTCGGCACTTCAACCCCCCGTGGCCTCGAAAATTAACCACTAGCGTTGGGGCATATTACCATACATCCTAAAACCCTGAACCCCATAGGCCTTAGACCGACATGCCAACGTCTGACTGCAAGACAAGGCATGGATGATGCCGGCTGGATCCGCTGGAGCTGCTTGCAGCACAACACCCTGAAACGAACCGTTTAATGTAGCGGCCTTAATAATTTCAATACGGTTTTGGTCAATATATTATACTATACCATAATTAACTCTGATAAGGAAGCCCAAAAAATAGTACAGGTAATTATTGAGGCTCCTAAAATACCATTGCCACTGCCCTCTCAGTTTCCTGCTCCAGTCATTCTAGCGTGCCATACCCCTAAACCCTAAACCCTAAACTCTGAACCCTAAACCCTAAACCCTAAACCCTAAACCCTAAACCCCAAACCCTAAACCGTGCAGGTTAAGCCTTGAGTTGAGGACCTCCAACTTGTACAGTTGGGAGTTTCCGAATATAAGGGGTACCTTATTATGGGGTCCTTTTAATAAGGATCCTATTATTTAGGGTACTACATTAGGGTCCCCTGTTTTCGGAAACCCGCAGTTAGAGCCCGAGGCTTTACAGTTACCTGCAAGGGTCCATGTACCCACATAGTATATACTTTGGCCTTAAAGTAGTCCCTATATAGGTACCTTGGGGCCAAAGTATATACTACTTGGGTACATGGACCCTTAGGGTTAGAGCCGAGGCTTTCAACGGCTTCATCAAGGCTGCTAGTGCTGTAGAGCACAGATTTTTCGTCCTCGCGCCAATTCTGGGCTGTGTGAGCGCTGAAAATCGGAAGGCGAAAATTGTGGAAAGATCTTCCAGATCTCATCTATGCGATGTTACATTGATGATGTCGTTTGTAAGCTACCATGATCATCCTAGCATCTCCTAGCAGGAGAAAGCATGCAACATGACTCGTAACTCTCGGAGCTGATCTCGCTTGTTGGGAGATAGCCTTGAACACCGAACCCTCAACCCCTCCTTGACTGAATCCGAAGCTGGGTAGAGGAACCGTGGAAATGCCACGAGTTTCCGACGGTCCTTTGACAGATCCACCTGCAGCTTACTGCAGACATCCTGACTATCGAAGTTTAGCCTTTCTGATCTCTAAACCCTACCTACATCCTCACCTCCAAGCCCTATAAACTCCCCTCTTTTCCGAGACAAAGCTGTGTAAGGACCCCGGGCTTTGAGGCTTGGGGTTCATGATAGGGTGTAGGGTGTGTAGAATTTCTGGCCACCGGGGCGAGGGCATTTGGGGATGTAGGGTTTCAGGTCACTAGAAGTTAATTTTAAAATATTTACTAGGGCGTCGTGAATCGAGACAAAGGATGTCTTGACTGCTCAGGTACTGTGCACATATGCAATTCCTAGCTCACCTCAATGTGCACCTGGATCGAGAAAGGTCCCGAAGCAACATTGAATTCTCAGGTGTCGCATCGGGTCCAAAGAACAAAACAAACAAAATACTTCGCAGATTTCGGAAGGGCAACTCTAGCGGGAAGGCTAGCATGTCATGCTGGCATAGCGGATCCCCAAAGCCGAAATCTAGCGGTGGAAGTCCCTATACATTGAAATAGTCCGCGCGAGAGACTCCTTCAGGCAGGGCGAGTTCCTTTCTTTGGGAACAGCACGCGCCCTAGCGGCCCGTAGCCCATTCCAAGCCAGGTCAAGGCAATGGGCACGAAGAGAATGACCCTCACCTGGCTGTTTCGAAAGAGGGCCGGATGCCAACAAAAGCACGTTCACATCATAAGAATAGAACAGGCTTCAGGATTTCTGCAATCGCCCTCAATATGGTTCCGTAACCCTGAACCCCTGAACACCCTAAATAAGGGCCCTTCTTCTACCGCAAGATTAGGATCATCACAGTGCCAAAGCCAGGCCCAGGCACTGCCAAAGTCATCCAAATGCCAGGCCTCAGTTCCCCGGCTTGCGGCTGAAAGTCTCGGGGGTTTAGGGTTTGGGGTTTAGGGTCTAGGATTTAGGTTTAGGGTTTACAGGGCTTAGGATTTAGGGTTTAGGGTTTAGGGTTTAGGACTTAGGGTTTAGGGTTTGGGGTTTCGGTCTGACTGTCGCCTGTCCTAAAGCTGTCGAACATCACTGAGCACCTGACGTCGAAACACTAAACCCTCGTGAACCGCATGCCGCAGGCCGAATGCTGGAGAAGCGACGGGTGTAGTCGATTAGGGTGTCGATGAAACGACGAGACAAGAAAGTTAAGATCGAGGCAATGAACACAATCTGCAAAAGGAGCGAGTGATCCCCAGAGGACAATTTTGCAGCAAACAGAGACCAACCAGAACCAGCCCTATCAGAGCAGAAAGCCACAAGACGACACGCTAAAGCCATGCAAGCTCGGAAAGCCGCCCAACCCAAACACAAACCCTAACCCATGCCTCAACTCCATATCCAAAGCTCTAAGTCCCGTAATGTAGGAGCCTTAACAATTAGAGTAGGGTTTTGGGGTATCTTTTTCTATGATCATAAGAAGAAACCCCTCCACAATAGTATAGGTAATTATTCCTAAACCCTAAACCCTAAACCCTTAAACCCTAAACCCTTAAACCCTAAACCCTAAAGCCCTAAACCCTAATACCCTAAACCGTGCATATTCTAGCTGTATGCCATACACTCCTTGGCAGGTGTACTGCCTTTTAAACTCCTGGCAAGGCACAGCCCCAGCTTCATGTGCAAGACCGTCCTGTGGCTGTGAAAACCACTTAAGGGTTTGGGGTTTAGGGTTTAGGGGTTTAGGGTTTAGGGACTGGGGGATGGGTTCGGGAGTTAAGGGTTCAGGGCAAGTTCCGCGTTCCTGTTACATTCGATGTCTTTGTGCTAAAAGCTGATACGAATCCAGCCGAGAAGCTACTTGGAAAAACGGAAATGTAAGATCTAGGTGAGCTCTCCTTAAGGTTCCAATTCGAAGCTCGCCTCCGTTACCCACAACGTCGGAGCTGCATGAAGAGCTTCGGGAACGGGTGCTCAAAGAACTAGTAAGGCCTAATGAAGCAACAGCCCGTACCTGTACATTTTCCCATCAACTCTTCAATCCACTAGGCTGAGGAACTGCGATGGTGATCAACTTCTTTAAACTCAGCAAGCACTAACCTGAAGCCCTAAGATGCGTATCGGGTCTAATCTTGCTTGGATCTTCATGAGCTCCGAAGCAGATCTTTCCTTAGACTGCTCTTATCGGCTTGAAAGCAGAAGCCGAGTCCTCAGAACCAAGAGCTGCAACGTCACCACGGACACCTGCTGCGTCACGATGAACCTGGAGTGGGGGGGGGGGCGGGTGAAAGACAGCAATTTCAGTTATTTCCTTTATTTCATACATGACGGTGTTTCAGGGTCTTTACGTTATAGGGCTGAGGGCTTCTCGTCTACGCTGGCCAACTTAAATCGCGAGAACATATAACATCAAGCCAAACCGGTTCAAGTTCGCTGGATCAGGTCAGCCTTGAAACCGGAGCCTCACAGGCCCTGGTGGGGATTCTGGTTCAGGCGTGCAGTGCTAAGCCCATACCTGCCCAAATGCGCCCAATGCCCCACGCCATAAACTGGAGCCCTAACAGGCCTCGAAGCTTCGAACAAACCCAATAAACAAACCTGCAAGACACAATATGAGAAACTAGCAAAAAACGCTGTTCATGTCCTGTCCTCAAGGCTTTTGCAGTATATAGCGAGTCAAACCCTGTTACGACCATGTAAAGACCCCAGTCTTTGATGCTTATAGGGTTTTTCGGGTTTAAGGTTTAAAGGGTACATTATATGGTTTTGCCTCATCCTCCAAGGCACCCGAAGTCTTTTGCTGCGAGCAAAGCCCCGTCGACAGAACTGGAGATCAGCAGCGTACCTTGTTTCACTCGCATACTGCAAGGTTTACTACATGGGCTTAAGGTTTTAGGGTTTAGACTTCATTGGTACAGGATCTACTGTATACTGTGTGTGCTCCTCGAAAGCTTCACTCTAATTACATATGATGTAGAGTAAAACGCCCGGGGATAAACGGTGCAACACTCGTGTCTTGCCTGTATTGTCACAATTCAGGCGGTCCCAAGTTGGTTGAGCTTGACATCTTCCATGCGGAAACCCTGCCCGCAGTCTTACGCTTTACCTCATAACTAGCCGGATGCATCGACCAACACGACAAAAACATCCCCTGGATGCCGCTTCCGTGCATCCTTTGTCCCTGCAGGTTTAGACTCCTTATTCCTTTAACATGCTACCCAACTGCGACAAAGGTTTCGGATTTGGGTTTAAATAGGAATTCATGGCAAGAGACCTTCAGAAATGTTCTCCGACCTGATCTTTGACACACCTCCCACCTCGGGCCATCCTCGACCCCCAAAACTCTGATCCCAGCTGCCGGTGGCCAAGCACACCATGAAGGCCGCACCGTGGATTTCGCCTAACCTCACCGCGAAACCGGGTTTAGGGTTTAGGGTTTAGGGTTTAGCACAAAATTTGTACGAGACCGGAAGAATGTTTTGACAGGTTCGGGATTACGAGTTGAGGGTTGAAGGGGTTGCAGAGCAGTTGGACTCTTACACACATGGGCCCAATGCAATGCCAGAGGCCGTATGTCAAAGTCGACACCAAATTCATGGGGGCTGTCAAGCTCCGCCATGTAATATAACGTCATGTTTTTCGCGAACACGGGCAGACTCGGTCAACATATACCCCCACCGATCGATCATACATCAAACGCGCAAGTTCGGGCTGCTACTGTAAGGAAACAGACCGGGTAGCAGTTTCTCAAAGGCTCCAGAGGACTAAAAACCTAAACCTGTTTTTCTCCAGTTCCCGCTTTACAAA